TTTTGCAAAATTTAGAACATTAACAATGGTATTATCTGTAAGTAAAACGCAGTTATTTTTGTCATCACTAATGTCAATACGCCACGAATTTATTGTCAAAATTTTGTATTGACAGTGATATTTCCGAGTATTTGTAACAACACCGTTATAGTGACATTTCTGAACATTAATTTCATTTTCTTTTACATTGAAATTATTTTTTATATCATCTGTTATACATTCGTCATATTCTACCAGTCTTCTCGCGATTTGCTGCAATGGCCTGTCACTTTTTCTTAATAATTTTTTTAAAGAACAAATATAATTTTCGAATGGAAAGGCGCTGAAAGCCTCCAATGGACCGTACTTCTTAACATCCTTAGGTAGGTGTATTAAATTATGCACATTAAATGTAACATTTCCTTTGCCATAAATTTTTTGAAAACTTTCTACAAAAAGTATTAACAGTTGTTCTGCATACTGAATATTTCTAGAATCCAACACTAAAATGGAATTTGTAAGAATCGAGATACTAACATGAAGCAGTAAAAAATTATTATAAACATCTGATGTTACAATATCTTTTAAAATTACGGGGCCGAAATACAGTAAAAAATGACGAAATTCTGTGGCTTTCCAAAGTTTCCAATAAGAAAGAGACCTTGAACGTCTATTAAAATCAAAAGGTAAAACATATTTCAATTTTTCCAAATTGTCTAAAATTTTTTCAATTTGCGTTTCTGATAATTTATAACTTTTTTTTTTACGTCCTTTATTTCCCAACCAATGCCTTATTATTTGCCTCATTACACCAATAAACACTAAATGCATAGGATCTAATGGTACGTTTGATACTAAGCCTACATAAGGCAATAAGTTTAAAATGGTTGAGCCATGTTGATAATCTCTATTGTACTCTAAATTTTTAAATTTTTCATCACTTCGTAAATGTGTATTGCAATATATCTCTAAGCTTTTACGATCTGCTAATGGGAAACAAACTGAATTATAATATTCGCCTTTAATAAGACATTTGCTGCAACTATTGTAGCCGCTAGGATATTTTGTATTTAAAATAAATGATTTGGCAGGTGCATCGCATATAAATGCATGAATTCTTACGTTATAAATTTCATTATTGTGTGTAAATCCATTATTTATTAATACTACTGCTTCGTCAACAAAATTTTTCAGAAAAACGTTTGGATCCTGAGGTTTTTTAATTCCATGATAAATACCTACAACATGTACACTCTTTAACTCGGAATCTTTGCATAAAATTGTCCAAACGCCTTTTTCTGAAGAATTACCTGATATAGGAGCACCATCAACATTAATCAATAGATTTACAGTGGAAAATTTATGTTTTAATATAAGACGGTTTTCAATAATTTTTTTTATGGCATTTGTTAAGCCTATATGACAATATTGTCCGTTATCCATATTTATAACATTAGTTGATTTTGGCGTTTTTAATAAAGTACGGGAATCTTTAGGAAATTGTGTGTTAGTGTTTTTATTTAATATCGACAACAATGAATTTATAGCATTATGAGGAATTTTGAATTGTTTTGCCCAATATTTAATTTCATTTGGGAATTTTTCATTTTGCGCTGACTCTGCATTTTTTAAATAATCAAATAAATTATCATCACAATGTTGATGCTCATCATGTACACTACTATCAGAACTACAATATAAAATACTATCAGCGTCACTATTACTGTGTCGATAAGTGATAGAACTAGCAATACTTGTGGCATCGTCATCTTTATAAGTAGATAAACACTGATCAACATAATCAAATTTATTGTCAACATGAATTTCATTAACTTCAGTCTGTGATGGATTTGTGTCCCTTGTTATTACATTTTAACATATTTATGTTATTATCAGAATCTATATTTATATCAATATCACTATCTACATCTTTATGTATTGTTAATTTTTTTTCAAATATAGCAAATTCTTTTTTAATATCTTGTAACTGAAGTACACTTTGTTCTTTTGCTAAACGATAAATTTGCCTTTTACTTTGAGCTATTTTCCCTTTCCGTACTCTTGGCATTCTGATTTATTACACAAGAAAATATGATAAAATATAATTTTAATTATTACCTTATTTTGAGAACAGCGCAGAATTAAAAACTCGCTTAGCACAAACAATAAATTTTAAACCTGTATAAAAAGAGGTTAGGTTAATAAAAATTAAAACAAATGTAAAATACATATATATATATATATATATAACTATAATATGCGTATATATATTTTATACTTACTATATACTTAATATTAATCAGACAATTATTGGCTCGGAAGCTAATCGCCGAATCTCTTCTTTCTGTGTCCGTACTATCTTTTTGTTTAGCACTTTTATAGCCACGGGCGCAATATATTTGCCATAATTAATGCTCACGAAGACAATAACTATTGTAAGATGGTCGAGTTTCAAGTTTAAGGACAACCTTTATTAAGCGCCGATGCCTCGATCCCCGCCTGCTGCATACGATATGCTTTGCCTGTCTACAAATGGCATGTTAAATCGATACTCGCATCTCTCGATCATTCTCGAAAGTCTAGAAGTTTATTGTTAACTCATCTTTTCCGCAATGCCGATTGGTCTCTTCTCTTGGTGCGCTAACTTCGTGAGCGGCTGTCATTGGCTGCGTTCAGCCGATACTCCGCTAGCCTAGCAATCGTGAGCAGTCGCTCGTT